ATGAACACATAACTAATACACAGTGTTCTAGAATAGGGTGGTGGTAGCTTTTCTTTTTACTTCTTGTCAGTTACCAAAAAAGTGAGGCTGATGAAGGATTAATAATATGTACATGACACCCCACCCCAGTATTGCAACATTCCATGAAACAAATGAAGACGAGAATAAAGCAGGCAATAAGCAAACAGGACACACAAGAGCTGGAACTTACACCCAACTATCTTCATCTCTGCATCAGAAAGAAAGGGGCGAGAATGAGGAGACAGCACAGAGAGAAACAAGAAAAATTAAGACAAACAACAAAAGAAAGAAACATCACTTGCAGGTTGGTGATGATGCATGCACTTTTTATTGGGTTAAAGAAAAGGACAGTGTTTCTGAGCATAAGAGCAAGAGTCAGAGGGTTCTCTAGAGGGATGCTATGTCTGCATGGCTGCCTTCTAATAGGCATATTCAGGACAATCCAGAGTAGGGCAGTAATTGCCTCAGTTCTGACTCAAGGAGGGGCAAAACATCCCTAAAGCTGAGTACAGTCTAGGACATGCTTCTTAAAGGAGGTCCCAGATCAGCAGCATCACCATCACTTGAGAGCTTGTGAGAAATGCAAATTGTTGGGTTCCACCCCAATTCTACTAAATCAGAAACTCTTGTATTGGGTCCAGAAATCAGTGTTTTTCTAAGTCCTGCAGGTGATTCTGATGTACACTAAAGTTAGACAACCACTGCTGTAGGAAAAAATTTAGTTATCAGTTAGGACAACATAGTATATGATAGATAGATTTCTTATGACAAATAAAAAGACTATTCAACTAACATGAAATTTGACCTATATCATCTACAGTAAATGATAACCTTAGAAATTCAAGGCTCAGAAAACAGGTTAAAATGCCATACTTTCCAAAAAGACAAGACAAAGCCTTGTACTTCCACTGATTCCAGGGCACAAATTTTCCAGGAGAGAAACAGAGCCATAGAAAGTGGCAGCACATCCCTGCTGGTTTAGACATGGTCTGAAGAAGGGTATAGCACCTTCTAGAGCAAGATATTTTAAATCATTCTTTTCAGGTTACAGTCTTTTGGCTGACAGTTTTCTTTAAAGTTTTACTCTTTAAAGTTTTATTATGGTTAATTCTGACACGTGTCACAGTGAACAGTGTTAACATCAACTTGTTCACCTGAACACCTATTCTGCTCATCATTCCTGACCATTTTCTTTTTGAAAAAAATCTAGCAAAGGACTAAGCATGTGCTATAGAATATAAGCTTTTGTACTTAACTAGAATGAGTTTAGAGGGAAGGAAGAAGTACTCATGGGAATTTTAGTCATTTTAAAAAATGGAGCACATACAGTCTTTTGTGAGGTGATCAATAAATTCCCATGAGTACTTCTGACTCAAGGAGGGGCATTTCCAGACAGCATTTCTTGGGTTGGTTCCCAAAACATCAGGAACACCACTGTTGCTTCTTGCTCATTACCATGGGTCATGAGCAGTGCTGGGTGACTGTGTAGCCAGGGCCTTAGTTGTCGCACAGAGCAGGATATCTCATGTTCACAGAATCCGTGTGGTATATATGTATACCCCCATGAAAAGCAATGGTAGGATGTCAGATAGACTGTTTAGAAATGGCACATTAGATACTGGTATGGCTCGAGCCTGTCTGAACTCTTCCTTACGGCACTATCTGACTGTATGCTTTGACAAGGACCTATCTAGGACATCCTAACAAAGACCTTTCTAAATGATGGCTTGATAGTTCCTGCCAAATGCTGGAGAGTTGTAAAATAAGGATCACAGTTTATGGATAATTCTAATCTTTTCAGAAGTTTCTCAGACTTAAGTGTTGAAATGCTCATAGTTACTGACATGATTTCTTTCCTTGTTCTTTCTCCATGGGTTCATGTGTCCAGAAGATTCAGTTGCAACTTCCTGTAACTTGGTGACACCAGTGCTGTGACGGACTGCTGCAGCCCAGGTAAAATACTCCCACAGATGAAGAGTGGACCAGCTGCAAGTGGAGGGGTGGTGGAGGTAGACTCACTAAGGGACCTCTTACCATAGTTGCTGTTTTCCAAGATAGGCTAACCTCAATGCAGAACATTCCTACACACTTTTCCTGTTCCTCCAGCAGGATGTGCAAGTGTAGTTCTATCACCTTGCCTAAGGTGTTGGAGGTAGCAGTGGCAAACCTCTTCTGACAGTATATTGGGATACATTAAGGGGGACGTTACTGTTAGTTGTCAACAGCCCACAACCTTGAAAGTGACCACCAGTGCAAAAAACTTTCTTCAGAAAGGGTGGAGGAGGGTATAGATTATGCAAAAGGACTGCTTTCTGTCTGTGAATCAATCCTTAATTTCGGCTATAGCACTCAGTACTTCAAAGGCAGACAGCCCAGGAAGCAGCATACTCACTGCCCCAACCTGGACCTCCCAATACTGTCCAGTACTTCTACTTGGTAGGAGTAAACCATATGTTGATTCCTTAGAATCAGGGAAGTTTAACTTCCGCTTGCTTCACCATTGCCTGAAATTGCATATTTTCAGTCATGTCTAGCATACACAGAAATCCTTCATAACTTGTAGGTCAATAATGTAAAGAGATGCAGAGTACTCCGCAAAGATTTATTTCCATAATTAAGGGTTTTGTTTGCTTTTGTTTGTTTTAGAGACAGGTCTCACTATTGCCCAGGTTGGGGTGCAGTGGCGTGATCATAACTCACTGCTACCTCCAACTCCTGGGCTCAAGTGATCCTCCTACCTCAGCCTTCCAACTAGCTAGGACTTAAAGGCATGCTCGCCTGGGGTGGCAAGACCTCATCTCTACAATAAAATAAAAAAATTAGCCAGGCGTGGTAGCATGCGGCTGTAATTCCAGCTACTCAGAAGGTTGAGGTGGAAGGATCACCGGAGCCCAGCAGGTCGAGGCTGCAGTGGCCGGGAGTGGCCACTGCACTCCAGTCTAGGCGACAGAGTGAGACTCCAACCCCCCCAAAATAAATAAATAAATAATAAATAAATAAAAATAAATAAATAAATAAATAAAGACAGGATCTCGTTATGTTGCTCAGGCTAGTTTTCACTCCTGTCTTTAAGAGATCTTCCCGCCTTGGTGTCCCAAAACACTGAGATGAGCTGCTATACCTGGCCCATAGATGAGGTTTTGACAATGTAACTTAAAATCAAATATTGCTTAAATACATTTTTGACTGAATCTTGTTCCTTTCTAGTCTTGGCTAATTTGGTTTTAATCCTATGAGTGTATGAAGGCCACTAGAAAGGTAATGTCCAAATCGTAGACAAATAAATTAAAAAAAAAAAAAGAAACTTTAAATATATCTCTTAGAATTATACTCTACCACATGATACTAGATATCTAATTTAAATAAGATGACCAGGTCAATTCTGGTCACCATTTATTCTTTTTTCACAGCCACATTGCCAAGAAGTCAGAAACTATGCTTAGGCTCTTCTTTTCCTAATTACCAAGCCCAGGGAGAGATGAGGAATGGTGTCAGCACAGCAAGAGATAAATGTCCTATGGAGGTCATCACAACTACAACAGCCAGATGGGGGCCTTTCATAAGCATGAAGTCTCCTTAGCATTTAGAGACAAACATAACTGATCTAGTAGCCTAGGTTTTCTATCCAAAAGACTCTTCTGTGTACATAACTAGGAGATGAAGGCTGTGTATAACAACTTGTTCTGCATTCACAGTGTCTGATGACAAAGAATGAAGGTGACGGGAAGTAAACTTGAGCACAGCAAGTTGAGAGCTTGTTTGAAGGTTCTAGCAGAGAAATACAGTTACTCAAATACCCTTCTCCTAAGATTGGTCCTCCTCTAGTGGAGATGGTTGACCTCTTTGACCAAGTGTGCAGCTTTGGGAGGGATGCACATGGAACAGTGAGGGAGGAAGGGAATAGCCACTTCGCCAGTCAAATCAGCTGAATCAACGTTGGTGATCAATGGGGTAACAGATGTCTCAGTCAGGCAAGTTGGAAGGCAGCTGGAACCCACCATATAGGCCTTTTCCATGTGCATGGGCATAAGCAAGTGGGTGTAAGCAAGTGTTTTAGACAAAAGCAAACAAACTTTTAGCAGAGCATTAAACTCAACTAAGAGGGTAGGTCCATACCTCCTGGAATCTATCCAGACAACCAGACATTCACCTGTTTTGATCTCCTTCTCCTTATTCGTGTCTTCTCTGGTGATCAGACCACCTACCATCCATCTGAACCATGTCTCTACCTCTCCCTCACTCCTGACAGGCCCCTTGGCTCTGATACCCATTTGGATCTACTTCTCCAGCCCCACCCATGTCTACCTGACTAGGAAACATGAACCACACTTGAGGCTCTGTGCATTCCCACTTTCTGCCCTGGTTTCCCACTGGGTATTAGATGAAGAGGATGAGACAATTCTTGAGAAACTGGCCAGGAAGTACTATTCACAGTACCTAATTTATACCATTTGCCTGATCTATTTTTTTTAAAGATCTCACAGTGGGAGGGGATCCGAGGGGGTTGCCTGCCTGATCTAGTTTTAAGATACATTAAAATATATTTGCTAGTCTTACACAAATGGGATTCACTGATACTGCAGATATGTATTTTGGTATTTCTTCCCCTTAAGCAGGAAGTTCTTATGAGACAATTATAAGAAATGTGATAAAAGAGAAGGGTGTAAAGAGGAATCTCCATGTTGGAGATTTATGTTGGTTTGTGCTATACAGCCGCCATGGAAGACAAGAAAGCCCATCTGCTAGATTGTCATGTTGCACTGGAGAATGTGACAAATACCTGGAAAAGAACAAATGCCTATAAAAGCCAAAGGGGCTGCTGGCTGTAGACTGGAGTCAGCAACGTGACTTGAGATGTGGAAGTGTTTAATAGCTGCAGGGCTCCTCCATAGGAGAGTTCATTACTTGCTTAGGAAAAAAGCACTAGACTCTATCCTCCTAAACCATTTCCCTCCCTGGCCCCAGGCACTTCTGCCTACCTGGCATAATGACATCGGGAAATCCCAATTTTCTTGTAACTGCCAATCCCCTGTTAAATATCATGGGATTTTCTCTTCGAATCTGTTCCATATCTCCACGAAGAAGCTGCAAAGAAATGATAAGACCTGCAAAAACAAAGGCATTTTCTTAGACCTACATATCCATTTCTATGTAGTACTGGAAAATATATAAAAAGTCATATTTTCTAGAGGGAAAATGTACAAAGTTCAGCATTTTCCTTGAGAAAATTTTTGATGCAGAAAGTATACGTTATTCTGAAGGAACATTCTAGAAAGCTAGATGAATTTAAGTCAAAGTGACCTCAATAACCCAGAGATCTAGTCTATTAAACACAGACTGAGGTCTGGGAGATTGAATTGTCTTTCCCTCAGTTCTCTATAATCCTTCCTAGTGTCTGGATGGTCCCAGTGAATCATTCTCCAGTGTATATAGAATGAGATGACTGAGACACATAAGGTGAACATTTAAGAACCTAGAGTAATGTACAGACTAGAAACAAATGTGACCAGAGAAGACTGGACCAGGATGTCCCATACACAGGAAATGAGTAAACTAAGATATGCTGTGATTTATGCAAGGAGTATGCCAAAGTGTAGAAAGCAACTTGCTGGTTCAACTTTACACCAGCTTGTAAAGAAAGCAACAAAGCAGACATCACATCCCACAAGGAAAAGAGTGTGCTTTTGTGAGGCTAACTAAGCCTTGCTTCAGACTACATGAAGATTTTAGACTCCCCAGATTATCTTTGTTCACAACTTGTGAGTATCCATAGTATCGTCTCAGGTGAGCAGGCTTCTGGCTTATTATTTGGACCCTTGGAATTTTGCACAAAATTAGAATCTCCTGAAATTTCCCTGTTCATTCCACCCTCTCAAGGGCTTCCACTGCAGTTAATGGTTAGAAGGCTATAAGAGGTAAAGCCTATATAAAGTTAAGAAGTGTTATCTATGAGATTGTGAATGGGATTAGCTGTTAACAGGATGATGAATTTAGGTGCTGAGGCAATCTCAATGACCCATAAATTTGGGAGTTAGGCAGAAGATGAACATCTATAGAAATGAGAGGATAAGTTGTTATGATAATGAGCACAATTAGAAAAGTAGCAGCTGGAATGGAGACAGAATAAGAATGGTCTGGGAATGGCGAGAAGAGAGGTGATAGAGAAGCAGAGAAAGAGAAAAGTTAGATAAATAGCAGAGTCACACATATTATATCTGGCAGGTAAAAGTATGTCAGCAATCTAGAATATATACTCTCATAGCTGGGCCAAGGGAGGAAATATAGTTCTACTGCAGCCTGGATAGAATCTGCTAAGCTCAGGTTTCTCAAGAAACCCTAGTATTTCAAACATGTTATTCCAATTGTCATCAACACCAGGATCACAGAGCCCCAAAAGACAAACATATGGAATTCCAGTTGGTATTCTGGTTAGATAATAAGTGTTTGGGATTTTGGCCACTCTAAAAGTAATTTTTCACAGCTTTATCACTTGGTGGACTAAACTACAGTTACTTTGTGAACATGAAAGCATAGGGGCCAGAAACAAGTCTACAATGATCTCTGCAAAAGTGAACAGCTTGGGATATACCCACCTCTTCCTCATGACCCCAGCTCATCTATCTTCATTGTCTTTACATATCTATCAAATCTTTTCCTCTGGGAAAACAGAGAGCTACTAACCTAAAAGATAGCCCAGCATGAAAATCAAACAGCTGAGAATGAAAGTTTTCATAATTTGAGGGAATAGTGGTTAGACGACAAATTAAAAAAAAAAAAAATCAGTGGGTATACTTTTATCACTCTGCATTGGCAAGGACTTATTCAAGTACCCACTGACTGCCTTTTGTCTGCATTTTCTGAGCAAAAAAAAAAATGGCCTAGAGATGCAAAGTGAAACTTGTGAAAATGTAGTAGTCTAAAGGTGCCAGGAGAATCATAGCTAGTTTTGAGCTACCCAAAGATATCCTGGACTCTAAACATAACAAATAAAAGGAAGGCTTCAGTTTATGTAAGAGATTAAGTGAAAAGACACACAAAGAATGAAATTACCAATGGTGGTTATACAAACTACATTACTTTTTAAAGGGATTGGGATCTGGGAACTTCTGGATTTCCTTTCCAGTTCAGAAACCCTAAGTGATTGAAGCATATACCATATAATGCTAAGGCATGGTCCTCAGTGTGAGAGCCTTCATGAATAGTTTAGAAAGTGACCCACTCACACACCACCAAGTCTGCAACCAGTTCCTTCACAACACTTGGTGTTCTACCTACCCATAATCTCAATGGGGCCCTCAAGTCAAAGAACTTGAAAGGCTGGTCCACATAAAGTAACTGGACAAACTGACACCCTTGTAAAATACTAGAAGGCAGCAACTTAGCTCTGTTCCTGTGCCCTGCTTCCTCAGCCCCTCCTTATGGAAATGCTGAATGAGGATTAATTATATAAACCAACCTCAACCCAAGATATGGAAATAAAATTGTAGTTAATAGTCATTTAAAAATAATAGAAAACTTATGGCTAACTGCTTTGCTCTCACTTGTCCTTAATAACCTTCTTGAGGCTGGAATTGCTCAAAGTTCAGTCTGTGGCTACATATATAACAGGCCAACAATAAAAATGAAGAGCCAGATCTATTAAAGTTGCACATTAAACAGTTACTGCTGAATGACACATTTACTCTCAGTACTCAAACCCAATGTAGCAATTTATTCTGCATTTTTACATGATTTGACTTGAAGGAAAAGCAATAATGACTTCTGAAACAGAACTGCAAGGCAGTGAAGTGTCCATGTTTTGCTTAACAAAGATGGGTAACAGTTTATAGCAAAGTAAATTAATTTTTATGGAGATGTATCTTTAATTAAGGAGACTAATAATAAAGACCTGGACTATTCCTTAAGCAATCTATAAAAATCTCTGACATAAAGACACTAGAGTCCAGCAGTGGAAAACTCATGCTCAGAAGCTTGGCAATTGCATAGAAAGGCCAGTGGTCTAGAGTCTGGAGACCTGGGTTCTACTCTGGCTCAGCTGAAAGGCCATTTCACTGAGCTTATTTCCTCATTTATTTAGTGAAGGGGTTGAAACAGGTAATTTCCAAGGTTTCACCTATCTTTTAACACACTTCAAAAAAAGGCAGGCTGTTCCTCCTCCTGTCTTTTTCACAACTGCACAGAGACTTCCTCTTACTCAGGCCATTCTAACTGAGCTTTCTGAAGTCTGTGGTGCCCCAGCAGAGAGGTCTTTCTAACACTATTTAAACAGCAAGTATCTGTGAATTCTGGACAAAATCAGTCACTGAAGATGGCACAGACCCTGCTCACTCTGGGGAGTGAGATAGCTCATCATCTTAACCTGGTGAGGTGACGGTGGAAAGTGCCCTTTCAGTTTTTAAAAAGCGTATTAATACCAGCATTTCTCTTTTTAAATGTTGTTCATATTTTAATCATATTATGCCCCCAAGAACTTGTAGCCAACAGCACCTCTTTATAAATCGAATAAGTAAACAAAACAAAGCACATGACAAATATTGATGTGAATGGTAGTTTTTACAATTGCTAGTGATTTTCCTATATTTTCATTACAAGATTTCATATGTCTCTTGCTTTAGCCTAGTTTTAGCACACTGCATGGAGCTCCCAGACATCCAGGCACACACAAAAGGGAAAACTGTCATTTAAAAACAGTGAGAGAGACTCTCAGCTCCCCCACTATACCACCACCACACATCGTTTCAGCTGAAGGTCTCAATCTTTATAGTTTTTGGTGTGGATCTCCTTTAAAACACCCTCCTAGTTGAGTATCTGCTGACCCTAATAGAGAAAAAACAAAGTTCTTTTCTTACTTTTTTTTTTTTTTTGAGTTGGAGTCATTCTCTGTTGCCCAGGCTGGAGTGCAGTGGCACGCTCACAGCCATCCCGGCGTTGACCTGCCAAGCTCTGGCAATCTTTCTGCCTTAGCTTTCTAAAGAGCCAGAACTACAGGTGCACACTAACATGCCTGGCTAATTTTTTATTTATTGTAGAGATGAGGTCTCGCCAAGTTGCCCAGGCTGGTCTTGAAACCACAGGCTCAGGCAATCCACTCGCCTCAGCCTTCCAAAGTGCTGGGATTACAGCGTTCCTTCCAACAAGTACTATACTCTTTAGAAACTGTCATGCCTTACAATGACTTATACTGCCATTGAAGGCCAACTTATAATTTACAACAAGGTCTATGAAATTAAAAAAAAGATTATATAAAGAGTTTATAAAATGATTTAGAGGTAAAAACTGTCAGGAGAAACATGGTTCTATGCAAATTAGATAGCTATCTGCAATGGTATATAAAGGCTCATAGGCTTTTAAATAGTTCTAATTTAATCAAGCAATTAAGTTTAACTTAGAAAACAATCTAATGTGTAGAATTTCACTGAGATTTAGATAGAAATTATTTAAACAGAGCTTCAAAGAAAGGAAGGGAAAAGGAAAATTTAGAGACGTTGAGCTAAGATTAAAGCTCCTTGAAATCAAGATTTTCTATTCTAATTCCAGAATGACTGATATTAGCAGACTAATAATTGATTCTCATTAGTATCAGGCTTTCAGGAAAAGAAAGAGAAGTAAGTGATTATCTATCTACCTATTTTTGAGTAGGTATATAATCTTTGTTCAGGAAAATACAGGCTTTACAATGTAACACACCCTGCAACACTTTGGCTCATTTTGGATTTAAGCTGGAACTCAAGTTGCCTATCAAAGCACATGGAATCCATCACAGAAATAATACAAAATGTATTTTGGTCAGCAGATATTAGGAAAGGGCTCAAGTTATTATAAAAAGAATTAGTAAAATGTGCCTGGGCAGAAGAAGCAACATCTGTAGGAAATTGAACTTTACATATAGCAGTCAATCAGTACCAACCAACTGAGGTGCTATATTATTAGCAATTGCAAATGCAACACAAAATTCTCTAGCCAAAGAAGTACATCACCATGGCTGGCGCTGGGGGCAGAGTACTTGGCGCTGGACTTTCGGATGATGTTCTCGTGGATCTGAGACCATTCACTCTCATTGTTGCACCTACAACAGAAGGACAGGTGTTATGGCATGCAACATCTGGTCTGATGTTTCAATTGTGCAACACTAAGTTGAGGGGGGAAATTATTCTTAATTTTGAGGGGGAAAATGATTCTTAATTTTCCTAAAGAAATCAGTGCATGTTTCACAAATTAGACAAGGCCTGTTTCCTGTTAGGTATAAAAGATGCATACTTGGGCAAACAGTGGAAACTCTAAAATGAAGCTCTACAAATATTTTTTAAGTGACAAAATGTACTCCTCTCTGAAAGCAGCACTATCCCCTGTGAGAAGTTCTTTCTTTTCTACATACACACCAGGCCCCAGAGGAAAGTTCCTGATAGAGAAAAAAAAGTTCTTCTCAAGAAGTACGACTGTTTAGAAACTGCTATTGCATTGGCTTTCTACTGTCAAACAACTGTCTTCATACTGGCCCCAGAAGGAAGTTCCACTAAGCTCAGGGTAATGTGGATATCATTAGCTTGTAGTTGTATTTCAGTGAGGCCAAGATAAGACAAAAAGCTTGGGAGAGTAATGGATTTGATTCACCATGAAGTCCTCCATGGTCAGGGAGAAGGAACACTTAGCAGAGAAGGCTGGATGCTAAATATGTAAGAAAAAATTTCCTTCCTAGGGATTACAGGATTAGAACAAATGAGAGAATGGAGGAACAATACTCCACCTCTGTTAAGTTCTGATATTTTAGTATCTCCTCTCTAAAAGACAATTCCAAGAAAGCTGCAACCACACAATCACCTGGGATGGAGCTTAGAATCAGAGACTAGTAATTCCCCATCCTAGTACAGACACTTTAGTAAAACAACTGGAATAGGATTAGAGTCATCTCTTGAAAAATCCCACTTGACACTGAGGGGAGTCCCCACTTTCCTGGTCCTACCCTGTTCCATGTTGGTTAGAGAGGTATGGATCTACTAATCCCAGAAACAGGACGCATACACAAAGGAAAAACCACAGGATCTTTTATTGGTTACTCAGAAGTGTCCAGTCCGGCATGGCTACTTCTAGGAGGAAATACCAATAAGAGTTATAGCATGTGCCAACCAACAGTATGAAGCACTACAGGTTTCTAAATAAAAGGGTTTGCACAGCGGCCACTCAGAGATAAAGATCAGTCATTAGCTTAATTAACTCTGTTACTCAATCACTGGCTCCTTGGACTCTTTAGCCATATAAATAAGCCTCACTTAGAGTTGTGGTAAATGGTTAAAGGTGAGTCCAGAGCTCTAGGGATAACGTGCTGCTTACAGAATTCCCTCCAAACAAAGGAAGGGGGAGAGTGTCCTTTAAAACAATCACTTGTGAGTTGCAATTGAGCTGGAAATAAAAAATGAGAGATGCTGGTAGCAGCACACTCACCCTTCCTGTCTGACATGCATACTGTCTTATCTTGTCCAGCCAATATATCAGAGAAGTGCCCAGCTGGTAAGGATTCAAAAGACTTGCCTTGCTGTCAGTTTTTTCTTGTTACTTTCTAGGTTTACAAAATCAATAGTAACTTTAGCTAAAATCTGATTTCAGTTCATCATAAATACTACCTCCCTTACTACAAAAGAAAATCCTTGAAAACTGCCTTCTATCCCAACATGTAGAGTAATCTCGATATTTCTCCAATAAAACACTCACTGGTTCCTTGGTGGCATAGTAGAGCTGGTGCTTTGTCAGCCACATCAACAGGGACAATTTGTATTATTTTACTGATATGTACCCTTCCACCCAACACATATAATTCAGATGCCAGACAACTGGGCTTGTTTCTCCCATTCCTTTCCCCTTGCATGCCCCTTAACAATTGGTGACTTTCAAAGCTCTGCCTTCAGCCCATTTCCTTTTTAACTTACAAGACTTCCTGGACAATCTCATCTACTCCCATAGCTTCAACCACTACTGGAGGCTGCCAAGCCCCAAAGCAGGGTCTCTAGCCCAGAATTATCCAGAAACTCCTAACTTCGTCACAAAAGTTCATTATTTCTCCTCAACCCATGTGCTTCTAGAGATTACTTCACTATAGCCTTCCAATAGTCACCAGAACTAACAGATTGTGCTATCTTAAAATCTGTCACATCTGACCTTTCCTCTTCATGGTCCTGTTGTAGTCATGATCATCTCTCTTCTGTACTAGAATAATCACCTCCTAACTGACTTTTTAAACATCTCCTTTTCCAGAATGTCAATCTGGTATCAAATGGTCACCCTTCTTAAAGCCCTTCATAGGTTCCAGTTAAAACTTTTAGAGTTAGAGTTAAAACTTTTTAGTAGTTCATGTAAGGTAGTCCACATCAGGGTCCGATCATCCCTTTCCAGGCCTCTCTTTAACCTTGAAAAAGCCCAGCAGCCTTATACCTTTGCCTATGTGCTTCTCTTGCCTAGTAGCTACAATGGCTCTACTTTACAAATTTTATTCTTTTCCTTTTTTTTCCTTTCCCTCTCCCCCCCCCCTTATGTAATTTAGGATTCAGTTTATATTGCCTAATCTATGCAGCCTTTCTGGTTCCTCCCTTACCATTCTCACTTCTCAACACCTCTACTTTGAACCTGACCACTGCTTCTTTTGGTCTTCACTGAATTCTGATTTCTATAAAAACGTATGGCACCAATTTGTCTACTTCACTCTACTATAATGTAGTCCTTAGACAGCAAGGACTAATGATCTCCACCAAATAAACAGAGTAATTCCCAAAGTCAACTGGTTATTTCTTACAGCTTAAATGCTACTAATTAAATTCTGTTATCATTTTGTATCAGAATTAAAGTAAAGGCAGATCTTGAAGAAAACATTCTGCATTGTGGTCATCTTATGGAACCATCAAAAGCTTTATCCAGATTTAAGAGGAAAATAATAAGAAAGCAGTGAGAAAAATCATATTTCTGGGGAAAGCAAGGGAAAAATGGAATTGCCTGTATGTGCCCTCCTGTTTGAGTCAAGGAAGATGGGAGCACCAATGAATAAATTATATGCTTGAATAGAAGTTCATGATGGCTCCAAAGGAAAGACTGTTTGAAACCAAATGTTATGCAGATTCATTTGCAGACTGCAAGGACTGAGATCCTGAAATTTTAACTCATGACAGGCTATAAACAAGATTTACCTTTAAAGAATAGGCAAGTTTTCTTCCAAAGGCATAAATTTACCTTCAATTCACAATGTTGCATTTTTTCCTCTTAATCCTTGCTTTCAAACACAGTATGCCATTAACAATGAATTCAATTGTTCAATTTAAAAAATTACTCTTTAGTCTTAACCCCATGAAAGACTTCATCACTTCATGCATCTCTATTTTATCCTCCCATCTTTTAGAGGCATCCCATGCTATATCTGATGTAGTCATTAATGGTATGCTTAGATAAAATTGCTTCCTAACCCTAAAACCCCATTCTGTGGTGGAAGATATGTACCTTCTATGGCCCTTCTTACCCACAAGTCTTTAGTATGAACTAGTATAATTAAAGAGTGGATTTTCAAACCCACAGAGATGCACATGTGTTAGATTGTTCACAATTTCACTCTCTCCATCTTTCCCTTTTCTTGTCTGTTTTCTATGAGGCTATAAATTACTTCTCTGTCAGTAGCCAATAAATCATAATATTACACTCAAAAGAAAATATTCTTTTTCTTTCACATTACTGAAAAATACTTTTGCAACCTCCTCTCAAGATTAAAATAAAATTTAAGTTGGCCTCTGTCTCTTGTCTGCCTGCCAAGCTGGGTAGGAATCGCTCTCTACTGCTCCATTTTCTCTGCTTCAGGAGACAAAAGTGGCTCTGCTGCAGCCCCTGTCACCCCATGACATGCAGGTACTAGGAGATCCTTAGGAAAGACACTGGGGCACCCCAGAAGCAGGAAATGAGGCCAGACATGTTTGCTCTTCCCTGCTGAGCTCTGCTATTTCCCAAATGCTGTCCAGAATACTAGTCTTGTATTCCAGAACAAAGAGGCAAGGAGCACAGAGTGAAAAACTGCAGGACAGGCAGCTCTGCAGGTGTGTCTGAACTGTAGAAGCAGGTTCACACAGATGTGGAGAACTTTTTTGGATCTATGCGCTTCTCTATCCTCTCTCAGTGTCTTAGCCCTGAAATATCTGAGAAGCAAGGAGCCACTTTCAAACTTAGCTTTTGGCAGACTGCATGTTGTTCTATGGCTTAGTAGTCCTGGGACTGAGGTGTTATGGAAACTCAGGCTGTTGCTGCTGGGACTGGAGGAGGAAGCCGAGTCAGGGCAAAGAAGGAAGCAAAGCACAGGCTGCAGCTGCCAGTGTAGGGAAGCAAGTGCTGCCAGAAGGAAGACTGGAATGTGAATAGAACGTGAGTTGGGACTTGATTGCCATCTGGGGTGGGGGTGTGAGCTAGGTGTGGGCTACCACTGCCAGGGCTGGGCTTCATTCAGCCTTCATTCGGCTACCACTGCCAGGGCTGGGGTATAAAAAGGATGAGTGTTCCTAACCTGCTGGCCTGGGTTGGGGTCACTGAGGACAAACATAGCCCTCTCCAGTGGCAGGGCTTCAGTGTGGCTTCTACCACTCCTCACTTGGGTACTCTGCCTCGGGCCTGAGGAGTGAACCCCCCCACCATGACTGGTGCCTGCTTTCACCATTGGGGGCCTGAGCACAAGACCACTCAGCCAGGCATTACTCCCTCCTTTGAGACAGAGCACATAGTCCAGGGCCCTGGGGACTGCTCAATCCAGTCCACCATCTTGAGCACCTAAGCATTCCTCCCAGGGGCCTGAGGTTGGACCTAGACTCCCAGCCACTACCACCTTAGCTGGTAACTACCAGCAAGTGCCACCCACGAGCCTGGAGAGTGGCCTGCTCAGCCCATTACAGCCGCCACCAACATCAACATACACCATCTGAGACCTAAAGAATCATCTGCCACTGCTACTGCCGTCGCCCACACCATGCTGGCTGTCCAGGGACCTGAGAACCCTCCTACCAGCCTGGACTACCATTGCCACTACTGGAATCTGCGCAAGCCACCTGGAGGCCCAAGAATTA